TGCGCCAGGGGCAGGCAGAGTAGTTTATACACCTTTTACTTTGCAGCATTTCCTCCAATTTCAGAGGCTTGCATGAGCCACTGCTTGGTCACCCTGTCCCTGCCTGCAGCCCAGAGGAGGTGGAGAAACCAACTGCCCAATTCCTGCTGACCCTCAGAAGCTTCTCCTTTTCTCACCCACACCAGATTTTACCTTTTAAATTTTATTATTTTTTTTTTAACAGAAAAGGCCATGAAAAGCAAGAATGCACGTGAGGACTGGGAGGTGGTGAAAGGCAGAGCAGCAGGGACATGGGTGAAGGTGGCAGGACCAGGAGCGATGTGGTGGGAGGGGAGAGAGGGACACGGGACACGCAGCCCTGGCCGTGGGGTGCCGTAGCTTTCCCAGCCGCAGCCCCTTCCCTCTGCCCCTGCCACCACCAGGCCTTTGGCGAAGGAGCTGGAGGGGGAGTATCACAGCACGAAGCCCAGACACACTTCTCTGAGTCCCTAAAAAAAATTGAAGAAAGGTGGTACAGAAACCTCCTGGGGTGAGTCCATGGCACCCATGGCTCCCGCCCAGGCTGGATACGGCAAATAGTGATTTCGGAAAGAAAAGCTCTATTCTAGGCAAAAGCCCCATGTTTCCTTCTGCACAGCAGATAGTCCCCGTTAGTGCAGAGCCAACCGAGGCGAAAATATTTATTACAAAGGAGAATTATAAGAGAGGAGTGCCTGAATCCAGAACAAAATGTAAAATGGGGAAACAAATGTAAAAAGCTCTATAAAAGTTTTAATGGATCCTTTCAGATGTGGAGTGGCATTTTAATGTGACGTTTTAAACGATTTCTTTCTCTTTTTTTTTTTTTTTTTCTCTTTTTAGCTTTTAGGCAGACCATTAATCTGAGGGGGCTCTTTCTGCCTGCAGAGGAGTAAGGCTTCAAAGCAGGCACCTACCAGACGACTGCTGGTGGGCAGAGCGCAGATGGGGTTGAGAACCTCATGGACCCTGGGCTCCGCAGCGAGGGGAGCTCCAGCCCAGGAGGACAGTCTCCCACACACCAGGCACCCAGCCAGACCCAGCAGCACCCGAGCCCTCGGGAGCTTCGCTGCTGGTTTGAAAGGGAGCAGAGTCCTGGGAGGGTTTGGTGGGGAGGAACCAACGGTGGGCACAGAACGGAGCGCGTATTTACACCTCCTGCTGCTGGAGGACACACTGCGAGGCAGCCCTAGCTGGAAGCTTCTCCCGCACTTACTTTTCTGATGCCAAGGACCTACTTTCAGGATTTGACTCCAGCCTGCGCGTTTCCAACGCATTAAAAATCTCAAACTGTGTGCTTAAAAATCTTTGGCCTATTGCTGACCTTTCCAAATCCCGGCAACAGCCATTTCTTCTTGCTGATGCAGATGCAGGAAATTCTTAACTAAATCCTAACTGAAAGCCAGAAAAGCAGATAAGCAGGCTAATCCTCCAGCCCGTCAGACCCCGGGCTCCCTCGGACTGCAGGTTGAGTTCTTGTTCTGCAGACCAGCTCAGCAGTTTGCCCGTCCCTATCTCGCCCGTGTCGGGGTGTGCTTCCCTGGGGCTGGGGAGGAAAGTGACCCCACCTTCCAAGGAGGGCAGCATTCTGCTGATCTTCACTCAACTCCCTGACATTTGTGGTGCACGAAGCTCTGGGCTGCTGCTCCCCTCGCAAAAGACTTTGCAGAAAGTCTCTGGAAAATGCATTCAGAGAAATGTGTGTGGTTCAGGTGGTGGGGTTTGTGTGCGTTTGTCAGGTTTCGGTAACATAAAGCCATCTTCTCCTCAAAATCCTAATTCTCCCTGGCCATATGTGACACTACCCAGCCAGGAACAGCAATGTCTTCTAGAGAAATGTCTATGTTAGTTAATAAGAGCAAATAGTTTCAAAAGCAGTAGCACTGTATATGCAAAAAGTATCGATTTTGATGCCTTCAGAGACTCTGGTTAAAAAGAAATTAAAAAGAAAAAAAAATGGGAGCAATTTTATCTAGAATAGCATAGTCATCGTTTCGACTGAATTTGGTCTGCTTTCTCAAGAAAAGGTTTGGAACACCAGTACAGGGGGAAAATGAAATCCCAGTCACTCCTTCATTAACGGAACAGCAACAAACTCATTAAGAGCAGCAATTGCTGCCGAGGGTGCCCCGGTTGCACCAGCTGCTCCGCGCAGCAGAGCCCTGCCGGGAGCCCCAATTACGCTGATGGAGCTCGCCGGGCTGGCGGGGGGCCAGCCTGCCCCAGCAATTTAGCAGAGCTGGGCCCATGTGGGACTGTCACAATGACAGAGACCTCACCTCCCTTAACAACAACACCAGCGGTCATCCCAAAAGCTGCTGTGGAAGAAACACGGGCAGAAGAACGGCGAGGTCAGGGTGGCGAGCGTGCACAACGCCTACCTGCAGTGGTTCTTCATAACTCACTTACAGAGACACCCTGTCCCCTCCACCACCAAAGGCTGGAGGTCTCAAATCACCCCTTTTTTTCCTTTTTTCACATCCCCTATTCTCCTGGGCAATTCTCCCCAAATCTGCAGACAGCATTAAAAACAGAGGTAGCATGAAGAAAGGGAGAAAACAATGAAGCTGGTTGAAAAGAACCTCAACAAATTAACCACCTTGAAGCTTAATTTTGTCCCCACGTCTTTCAGGCTTGCATAGGATTGCTCTTGCTGTCTGCCCATCACCACTCATGGTCTCTACAAACACCAGCAATTGCTTGCTTTTCCCATGCTGCACTTGCCAGAGCCCAGCCCTAACCTGAACGACAGAAGCTCAAAAGACAGAAGGGCCACCTTTTAGGTTGGAGTTGTCTACAGCCTGTGCCCAAGACACTGACGAGTCTTGTTGCACTGGAGGTGGACACCTGAAGGTCAAAAACCAACTCCATGCCCAAGACTAAAGAAGTCATTTTAGAAGCAGGTGAGTGACTTCTAGGACGCGCTGCTCAGAGAGGTACATGGGGCTGGGGTCATGACTGCAGGACAGCCTGATGAGACGGCTCTGCTCTCCTCAAAGCCAGGAGAAAGGTGATCCTCAAGGATCACCTCAAGGGTACAACATATACAGCTCTGTTGTTTCAACGACATTATTTTCTAAATGCATTTGCTCTACCAAATGGTGCTTAAAAGCCTGGCTACAAATCAACCATTGTCATTTCTCCCCCAGGGAACCAAACTGCTTCATCCCGACTCACGTCACCTGCTGAGGCAGTCACAGCTGCTACACCAGAGGCTACATGGAGAACATAGGACCCCCCCCTAACCAGGGCGTACCAAAGGTCCAGCCAGCAGAGTGCCTGGCCTCTGACTTCGGTCAATAGGGGAGGGTAAGAATGTTGGGTCCCTCACTGGAGATCCCCTGATGAGCATGGACTGCTGCTGGCTTTTAGCAGTCACTCACAGGCCCTCTTCCAGCAATGCTACTGGGTCTACACTGGGGAAAGGCAGCTCGGGAACTTCAGGGAGGACAGATGCTGTGGTGAATGACCCACTGCTGCTTTGAGCAGTAACAGCAAGTGCAGGGACCTTGTGTGCCCCTGCTCTCTCTCCCATGTCCTCCCGATTTCTGCTCACCTGTAACCAGGCATTCACTAGAGTGGAAACTTCTCCCTTCTGCTCCTGCTGCTTCTGCCAACAGTTCTCTTGCTTATCTCTATCTAATTAGTTCAAATTTCAGACACAAGGGTTTGCCTAAAGTCCTTCCCAGTCCTCCCAGTTCTTCTCCTTGTACACCTTCACCCTGTCCTGCATCAAGGAAGGCTATAAAGTCGCTTGGCAGTATGTCTTCACAGATGTTGACGCATGCTTGTTCAGTATTAAAATGTCGCTATAATTAGTACTTGAATAAAGTAAGCAAAAAACAGAATACTAAGAAATACTAAGAGGTCTCAAAACCAGGAGTGCAGCAGCACAGCTGAAGTACTTCCAACCCTCTCCTATCAAAAATAGAAAGACAGTGAAGGAACCTCTTGACCATGTCCTTATCTCACCCTTGTGAGAACTCCAGGGACTAGAAGGCTGGTGGGGCTGTGTGTGCTTTACACACCAGATTGTGAGAATATTAAAGGTTGGTTCAGTGGATGCAGGACGTATCTGTGTATCGTGTGTTGCATAGGCACCCTACGTTACCTTACCAGAGTTTCACAAATATTCATCCACATCAGTGAAAACAGCATTGCCTCCCTGTGAGGTCCTAGAACCTGTAAAGCCCCCCCAGCTGCTAGTTATGATTCTCCTGCTGGCAGGACCTGCCCTTCCACATCTCTGTACTTTTGGCTGCTCAATGTACTTATTCAGTGAGTGTTTCTAGATGTGGTTTCTTTTTATTTTTTTTCTGGTGCATATTGACAAAACATGTTAATCATGGCATGGTGGAGTAGAGATACCAACAACACTACACAACACTATCCTTCACCAAACTAAGGAATACCATCCTGCGCTACGTCTCCAGTTCCATCAGAAGAGTCTCAAACATGGATTATCCCTGCCCCTTTTTGTAGTCATTCCCTGAAGGGAACAGCAGAAAGGCACCAGCCCACTGAGCAGCAGTCACAAAGAGCAAATACCCCCTGCCAGAAGATCTTTCCTGAGAGCAAGCTGCAATGATGTGCTGGCCATCAGTCAGGCTTTGGTGGCTTGTCCCAAACTGAGCACCACTTACTGGGTGCGCCACACCGCTCCCCAGTGCTCCCAGCACACAGATTATTAAACTACTGTAGAGCAAAGATCTGTAAAAGAAGACCACGTCACAGCCCCTGATTTTGCTGGACGTACCCATCAGAATTTGGGGACGCTGAATAACCTTTGATGACAACTAAGACTGACCTGGTCATCTGGTAAAGCCATGTTCAATTTGATTAACAGTTTTAATGAGAGAACAAACCCCTGAATCCAGAAATAAATATATACTTTGGAAAAGGTTTTAGCATTTTCTAAAACTTTCTTACCTTTAATTTTCCTAGAAGGGCACACACAATGGATTTAAGACATCCATCCTTACCTGGGTAGTCTCTCTTTGTAAGCGAAGGAGAGATTTCTTTAAAATGCTCTTAAAATTAGGCTCTGAAAAGCCTCTGCAGGTGACCATCATCCTCCACAAAAGCTAGCTCTTCTAGACGCTCCGCACCGTTGATGGGGAAACCTCTCCTCCCACTGCGTTTGGAAATTCCCATGTATTTTAATGCATCTGGAAAGGCCGCCGAAAGGTGTTGCTTGCCCTTTAAAAGCAAAAGCCTTTCAAACCTAAAAAATAATTACATGGATTTCACATGAAGTGACACTGGTAATATGCTTTTAAATAGAGACGTACAAAGCAACAGACAAAAATACCGACATTCGAAACCAACTAATCCCGAAAAGGCATTTTTACAGGAGACCCAGAGGAAAGAGGGAGACAGGGAAAGATAACCACGGTCAGAATAATATCAGAGAGAAGATACTGGAAGGTGAAGAATTAACCTTTTCCTAATTAACTGAGGGTTGTAAGGCAAAGGAAATCAGCCAGTCGAGAGCAATTTTAGTGAGACAGGGATTTCAGCACTTAAAACACTTTGGCTGTCCTTTAAAAGCAGGAGAGGAAGGGAAGCGGCTGGTGTCAGGAAAGGGGGGTGAGATGGAGCTGCAATACCACCCCGGCACGCCAGCCACGGCCACCACCGAGCCCGTCAGCTCCGGAAGGACCGAGCTCAGAAAGACAGCGGGGAAGATTTCATTACAGGATGTAAGCCCGCAAGATAACGATCAGTAAATGCATCCTAAACAGGGTTATTCAAAAGGCAATCAAATTTTCACAAGAGGAAAATTATTCGGGAAGTTGGACTTCAAAAGAACTTCTTTAACCTCCTACAACCTGACATTTCATATGCTCCTAGATTCAGCTCTCAATTCTTTAAATATTACCATATTTAGTAACTGGAGAAGATGTGGAAATATTTCCTGAAGGTATTTGGTGGAGAAAATCTGATTATTTTTCTTTTTAGTCTGAACCTTTACTCCTTAAATCACCCAACAACTCACTGCAAACCTCCTGCATCATCCCTGTGCCAAATACCTTGAGTGCAACTTGGCCAGACGCCGGTTTTTTCCTTTTTTTTTTTTTTTTTAAATAAACCACTTCATTTTTATTAACACCCACACACTTACATCTCGAGATGGAGAGCTCTCATGGATGCAGGATTCTCACAAATGCAGATATGGCAAATGATGTAGAGAGGATTCAGGTGGAGAACACCACTGCTGTCTGCCTGGTCCTCTTGAACCTCATTAAAGCCACAGAGGGTACAGACCTGCTGTCTGGCCCAATGACGTTGAATCTGGAAAAACATATAGCTTTAAAGCATGCTGCTTCTTTAGATTGTGCTACCTTGAATTACATGCTGCTGCACTACACAAAACTGTGGACCCATGCGATGATAAACAGGGGGAAAATGTTTATCAGCATTTAAAAAAAGAGAGAGAGAGAGGATGGAAAGAGCGCTATGTTTTAATGCAGAATTTAGCTTTTTTTCCCTTACACTTCCCATTCAGCTGGATGTTGTCCAAGAGCAGAAGATATTTTTCTGAGCCCCTTTAATGATATTTTTCATCACAAGTCAGTTAAGGAAGCCAGTATTTCCATTCATATTAGTTCTTGGAGTTACATGTAGCTAATTTACAACAGCCAGCTTTTTTGCTTTCTGTGCATGAGGGTTAAAAAGCTAAGTAGCATCGAGAATAGCACTATAGCACTACAGCATCTTGCTTGCCTTAACCCGCTGAGGTATCCTCAGATGCCTAGAGAAACATTCAGAAACAAACAAACAAATAAACCCGCCGTAACACTGCAAAGCAATACACTGCAAAATAGTTGCTATGATGCCTAGTGCTAAGAAACGTAATTCTTAGTGAGGCTCTGAGGTTGGGCAAACACGTTTAGCAGTCGGGAATCAGGCTTTTTTTGTTCTTTTAAATGTACTACTTTTTTAGGAGGTACTTTACTAAAGCACAGTGCCAAATTAATTTATTTTTTTTTCATTTGGCTCTGTAGGTTTTATAAAAGGGAGCTTATCTGGAGAGAAAAAAAAATCAAAAAACAAACCAAACTCTGATGCTCCACTTCTTCAGTCACAACTTCAGTATTGGATTTTTTGCTACCACTCCTGGCAAGCAGTGAAGAAGCTGGAAAGCAAGATTCTGTGAAGAAAGCAAGCTGGGGGAAAAAGCCCTCCCCAGGTGAAGATTAATTTTCTTAGCCTTTCTTTAGCAATCTGCAATACCGTCAGAAGATTCGGAGAGGAAAATACTTTGGGTTTGGTATTTTTGGAGGGATGATGTCCCTTTAACAATACATCTGCAATACCAAAAAACCCTATGCTGAGGAAAACTCTAAGCTAGAGGAGAAGCCGATGTGCTACTCCTGTGCCTTAAATCCCCGAGCTCTCCCTGTCCTCCCTTTCTAAGCAATGAAGAGCAGAAGAGATGAATCTCCATCCACAGGGGAACCCGTGGGACCTGGGGACCTGCCTACAGCTGGCATTGTGCAGATGCGCATAGGTACAGTTGCCACTGATTTATACTCCATTTATGAGAAATTCTTGTGAAATTATTCGAGCGGCACCATGTGGATATGCAATCGGGGCGAGAGCCAGTCGAAAAGCAATGGCATAGCAGCTGGTTGGTTTGGAGGACTAATTATGGGATGGAGGCTTACACATCTGGGTCAGCGCTTCACATCCATCTCAGTTGCATACTAGTGACAAGGTCATTACTCTTTGATAGTTCCTTGGTGACAGACACGAAATGGCTCTGCAGGTCCAGACCAGTTTGTAGTGCACTGGTCTCCTCCTCAGAGTACTCCACATGACAGGGACTAATTGATCTTTGCATTGGCAGCGTGAGCAGAGATCTCAGGGCTGATCTGCTTGGGAAAGGCATCCAGATTTGATGCATAGCAAGAGGCCAGCATGGAGGAAGGCTATCCCACAGCTTCCCTGCCACAACCCTTCTGCAGCCGCCCAGAGAACAGAAAGTTATTCCAAGATCTTGTTCAAACACATTCGACATGGCAAAAAGAAACGGGCTTTGGCAAAAGATCCAAAAGATCGTGAGTGGTGGTCTCACAGTAGGAGTAACCTTTACGTGGCTGCAACCCTAAATTGCAGATACCATCCCAGAGATCTCCAGAAAGCCTGGCAACTCAGCCTGGAGCCTGTGGAGAGAGTCGGGCCCTAGTAGTTAAAGATCCACAACCTAAAATAAAAATAAAATCTTTGCAGGGAAAGACATACTCCCGCTTCACGGCTGCAGCAGCCCCTCGGTGTGCCTGGAGCAGGCAACGGGAAGCTCTCTCAGATGACAGCCGCGGGAGGGACGCAGCACGGGGGTGAGTTACAGGCTGCTGCAGGGCACAAGCAAGCGGTCATCTGAAACACTGAACAGCACCACGGGTTCAGTTCTGCAGCCAGTGCATGTAAATAACTCCTGGTGAACTGTGCTCGGGTTAAAAAACACAAGTTCACCCCGCTCATGGCTGTGATCTGAATGTGGGTTCACTGCCTGTAACCTAGAGCACGACAGCACGCAAGAGAGTGGGTCTAAAATCCTCGGTGCTTATTCTGTAAACAAATTAATTTGCAGCCTGACATTTTAGCCGTGTCCTATGTAGATGACTTTCTGCTTATTCAATACTTCTGAATAAAAACACTTAAGGGCTGTGCAATAATAAATCAGGTGTTAACACTATTCACCACAGATGCTCGGTACCTGATTTAACCTTCTTTTTTTCTTCTAACATCAACAGGGGCTCTGAAAAATATGCAACTTTTTAAATAACTAAGATAATAAGTGTTTTCAATCCCTGAAAATAACTACTATCAAGAACAGACAGCAGCACACGTAGGGCATATATAAGACAGCAAAGGGAGAGTGCAGGAAAGAGAGAAAGAGAGAGAGAGCAAGAACAAGAGAGGAGAGAAGATACTGTCAGCTATTGAAACTGACAAGCTACTGAATACTCAAGATCCTTCCAGCCTAGATTTCTTTTTTTTTTCCATGTATAAGAACAATCAGTTTTCAAAATATTTCTCTGGAAATAGGAAATAACTCTGGAGGCCCGTGACCCACTCCCACTTTTTGGAGGCTCCCCGACCCTGGCTCTCCTGGGGGTCTTAGAGGCCGGCTACTCCCTGGAGCTCTGCCAGGTCACACCAGATGCAAACTGGCCCTTTCAAGTCCCAGGTTGTTTTTTAATCATTTGATTTCAACATTTCCTCATTTATCCAATCTGCACAACTTATCAAGTCGTTGGGTGTTGGTTTTTTTTTTTTTCTCTTCTTTTTATTCCACTACCTTAACACAGGCATGCTAGTGGTGACCTGAAGATAAAAAAGAGAGAAATCAAGAGTACTGCAGTGGGCAAATGCTGTCAGGGAGGCCAGCTGGCCTGTGACAGATCCCATTTCACCATTCTGCCCATCGTTATCCTGCTCAGCCCCACGAACCTCGCCTTGACCAGGTACTCAGGAAAGGGCCCTGGGATGCGCACCCGGAGCCTGCTGTTCTTTCCTCCTTTTCATGCCATCGTGTCCCATCAGAGCTGTTCATCAGAAACAGTAACTCAGGTTGACATCATTCCTACCAGAGACGGGAGCTATTGAATTATCTAAGGACAAACCTAAATACTAGCTTTTAAAGGATAACTGATCTACTAAAAGCAAGTATTGTTTTGGACATGCCATGTCATATTTATCATGCTTGGCTTTGCATTGCGCTGCTATCTCCTGCCATGTCATTTGAACAACATGAAGTCGCATGGCACAACATGACAGATGCCTCAGCAATGAGGGAAAGACACTTTCTAGATTCCAGGTCCATTATAAAAATAAAAGATTCAAGGGATATGAACAGCGGCATGTCTGCAGACCAAAAGCAACTTGAGTCTCCCCAGTTATCTGCAGAAAACAGATCTCCTCAATTCACCTGCTTTTCACATAATTAATGTTCTATTTGCTTCCATTAAATGTGATTTCATTATCATCTTCTTCAAAACAACCTGATTACAATGTAGGAAAGGCTCCTCTTTCAGCTTTTTACCAATATTGACAATCCTGAGGGATGTGCCAGAGAGAGAAAGACTGATTTACTGCTAGAAAATGTCCCCTTCATTAGGAAGAGGCATCACCTTGAGCAACCTCCATGTAGCAACATGAGAACACCCTACCAGTCTTCACAGGAGCAGACTAACCTCCTCCTTTCCAGGAAGGTTGCTCTCTTAAATGTTCCATGGGAAATTTCAAAAGACATTCAAATTTCAAGACATTCATTGAGAATGTATTGTAATAAAAAATATCCTAGAAAAAAAAATTGGGAAAAACCCCAGTATTTTCTTCAAAAAACCTGGCACCTTTGGAGAAAATTTAAAACGTCAGTGAGCGTCTTAATCACACTTCCAAAAGCCCATCTTCTAGATGGAAAAGCCTTTCACCAAAACCAACAAAATAGCTCTTCACTCAAGCTCCAGCTCCCTGGTCCCTGCGACCTTGCAGATCCTCACACCCACCACAAAAGCCTGGCCACAGGAGGAGATTTCAAAGATGAAGCTGATTCTCTGCTCCAAAAGCAGAGCTAGTTCCCTGTAGGTAATCATGGCCCATCCTGCAGATCCTGCCATTTTTCATGTCCCTTTAATATCACCTCTGTATCTTTTTTTATTCTGATATTAATGGACTTGCTTATCCTGCTCTGTGCCCCACATATTTGCTAGATGAATATAATAAATTGGCAAGTCCAGTCTGACTGGCCATATGCTGTTCAATTTGTATCTGCTGGTGTCCTGACCTCGCTTTTGTCCGAGCTGCTAGAAAGTCCAACTGAGCAGCTGAAATATTCTCCTTTATCCAAAGGTAAGGAAACTATTATTTCCCCTTTCACATAAACTTAATTTGCTTTTCAAAGAAAAAAGTAGTTTGTTATTGTGCTCCTCAAATATCTGAGGAAATACAGAGAAAATGCCTGGCACATATGGTATTTTTATGTGGCTTATTTTTTCCCTTGTCTTCAAGTCTGCACAGAATTATTACTATTTGGCACACGGCAAAAGGAAGTCTCCTGCGCATAACATGATTTAGTCTCGCCGATAAAGTGGAAGTGGATTTCTTCCTTGCATATTAAGTTCTGCTGGATACCATTTGCACAAGAGAGCAAAATTGCAGTTTCATGTTCTTTTATGATGATACATTTCCCATCAGCCAGCCTCATCTCTCTCTCTCTCCCCAAATATTAAAATTTCTCCCAGCAGTGACTCTCCAAATTTCCCATTCTCACATATTGGCTCTCTGAAGACTGTGACTCTTGTTTGCACAGAGTAGCCAGCTAGAAGCCAGCCCTGGGGGGGTTCCCTCCTTCAGGGAGTGACCCGGATGGCTGTTGGGACTAGCAGAGCCCCTGCAGGGAGGGTATGATGGGCCTGTTCCCAGCAGACTCCAGGGACAGGGCAATAGGAGCAGGTGGTCTCTGCCTGGAACTTCTTCCAGCCAGTGCCTCACCCACCGCCTCTCTCTGCTTCTCAAAGGTTCATGATGCCCGTGCACTGCGGAAGATGATGCTGCTGCATCCTCCTTCTACAGCTCCCTTCTCAGCAACTCTCGCAGCAGAAGTCCCAGAGCGCCCAAGCTGCCCAGATCCCCCACCCACATTTAGTGGGCTTCCACTTGCTCACCTCGTGCTAAATATTCTGCCTACCCGCCGCGGTGTGTGCAGCCTCCCAGGTTGTCTTCCTCACTCCAGGAGCTGTGAAGTGGTAAGCAACTTATCCCTGACCCAGTACTTGCTCCTATACACAAAACACTACATCACATCTGAGATACCGATACCTTCTCAAAATCTAAGTGCTAAAGGAGAGGCTGTCCACAATCCACTGCATTTACTGGCATCTATCAGGGTCGGGTTAGCTGTACTGGTCCAAACTGGTTGTTCAGTACCAAAGGCAATGCAGTAAAGCAACCACCATTTCTCTAACCTCTTACATTTCTTCTCTAATGCTTGTACAGCACAGCACAAACTGGGTGCTGCCAGTGAAACTAGCTCATAACAGACATACAGTTTTATTTAAAAAAAAAAAACATCAAAAGGCAACATTAAGGATTAATGGACTAATTTCTCTACTCTGTGACACAGGAAGAAGCAGCCTGTGGCCAAGGGGAAGAAATGCCTTCTGCTGGGACAAATTCCATCAGCATTTTTAGCCTCACTGCCTAATAACACAAGGTTCCCTCCATCACCATGCGCATTTAATGAATTGGCCAGTTCAATCAGCTCTGGCTGAAAGACAGAGGCTCCAATAGTATGACAAATGTCACTCCAACAGAAGGATCAGATCCATGGGAGGGAAATGTTACTGTGACCCAGGATCAGCCCTCAGAGAAACCCCCCAGCAAGAGGCAACCAAGTTTCATGTCTTCAGCCGCTCGCTGGCTGCAGACTCTGCCGGTCCCTGCACCAGTACGCACAGCATCCCTTCTCCCCATCCCATTTGAATTCTCTTTTCTCCCCTGGAAGGACATATCAGCCCCTTCGAGGCACCCACCCTGCTTTGCTGGGCTCTCCTCCCATGCTTTCCACAGCTCTTTTCATTAACCAGCTCTTCACCCACCTGCATCTGCACAGTTAGATGGCCTCACGCCACATCTTTAAAGTCAGTAGGAGCTTGGACATGAAATCCAATAAGCTGAGGATCACCTGTACGGTCCCTTCCATTCTTCCTTCCCCTATTAATTCCTTTCTCCGCTCTTTCCTGTCATATTGGTTTGCCTATTATTCCACGCCTAATAAATTATCAGTAATGCTCCAGCATCAAACATCATGTGACTAATGAGTGAGTTAACCTCCAATTTCTGTCCGTGTAATTCACACACATTGATTTTACATGAAAAGAACTCTTGACTTACATTGGATGACCCTGATAAATTTAATCTCTTTAATGCTTCTTCTTTCTAAATAAATGCAAAATGTTTTCCTCTAGAAAGTTTCTCAGCGGTAAAACCTGCATTGTAACTTGGCAATAAAAGTCCTCTGCTATCCTGCAGAATCAATCAATAAAACTAAAAAAACCCCAAACCCGCATAAAAACTCTCCGATTCCTCCAAGTGCTGGCAGCTCAGCCAGCCTGACAGCGTTGTTACAAATGCGACAGGTAATCAGAGCTGACAGCTCGTGTCAAAACCCACAGCTGGAATTTAGCAGCTGGTTGGAAGAGGTGCCAGTTTGGGTCCATCTTACTCCTGGTCTCATTACCCCTCCTTTCCGCATGGCATCACCTCAGGGCTGGTGACCCGAGAGCCAAGTCTGGGCAGGGAGCACCTTCTGAGCCATGGGGACCCCGAGGAATCCCCAGTGGTGGGTGCTGATGGGCCTTGCAGCTACATCAAGGCTGCTGTCCCTGGATTTGCTTTACCGGGGCAGACAACTAACCAGGAAACCATACTTTGGATTTTGTGCCAGCTATCACGGGGGATTGCAGCTTTTTCCTAGGGTGCACACAGATTTAAACACTCAACAACTGGCAGAACCTTTGCAGAAGGCTCATAACAAGAGTCAGGAGAGTGTTTATTTAGATTGCAAAGGCAGTGTGCCTATCTTCTCCAGCATGCAAATGTGCTACACAGAGTAGAATGTTGATGCAGACAGGCTTAGGGAGACAGGCCCCACAGCACAAACCAAAGACAGGCTAGAAAGCTAGTATGTCCAGCAGCCAGAACCACAGCCAGGGCAGGGCTTCACCATCAAAACTGAAGAAAAAAATAATACGGGGAAAAAAATGTGATTTTGCCACAGAAAAGATACCTAGGTGGGTATGGACAGAGTTGGGTTGCTACTTCCATGGAAGAAAAGGGACAGGAAGAAGGTTGTCCGGGGAGGTGATTGAGGCCCCATCCCTGGAGATATTCAAGGTGAGGCTCGATGAGGCCCTGGGCAACCTGGTCTAGTTGGGGGTGTCCCTGCTGACTGCGGGGAGGTTGGACTAGATGACCTTTGGAGGTCCCTTCCAGCCTGGACAATTCTATGATTCTAAGGACCAGAGCTGAGTCAGAGACAGAGAGGGCTGGGCTTGCTGGTCCTCTGGATTTGCAAAGGAGAAGGCTCCTGTGAGAGTAAAAGGAGACAGCAGCCTCTCTCCATCCCTCCCCTCTTGCCTCTGCTGCAAGCAGGGCTGCTATAAGCTGCAACCCGTTTGAAGTCCTGCCCTTCTCCCACCCCTGCGCCCAGATTTTGGTATTAACTCCTCTTATTTGGTTTTCTTGACGTCATCCACTGCTCTCTATAAAAAATGCCTCCTCCCTGCCCAAGCTCCAAGATCCCAGCCAAAAAAAAAAAAAAAAAGGGAGAGAGTATGGCAGGAAGCTGGGCAGGATCCTGTACCAAGAGGGGCAGACACCGGCAGCCCGTTGGAAACACGATGTCTTAGGAAGGGCGTAGCAGGTTAGTGCTGCCAGGGAGAGCCAGCAGAAACAGAAGGGATTTGTTTAGATTGCTGCCCTTAAGATACGTCCACTCCCTTCTGAGCCTGCATGTTTTACGGTCTCTGCATACTTTCCTTGTTGACAGCTCTGGCAGACTCAGTGATTTTTTTTCCAAAGTGAACTTACTCACCAAACGCATTTTTCAAGCTCCCACAACTTGAGGAATAGAAGTTGCAGCCTGAAAAAAACAGCAAGGACAAAAAAATCAGATACTAATGGTAACACTGCAGAACATTCAGGAGCTCAAACATGCAGTGACTGAAGTGGCTAACTCATTTGCATTATTCTTAAGTCATTAATTTTTATTCCTTTTCATAGTAAAATGATTAAAATCTTTTGTTTTCTGTGTATAAAAAAAATAGGACGACGACCATGGCCATTTGGACTCCAAATAGATGTTTTTAACAGGATGCAGGAAAATCACGGAGGAATTATACATAGCAGTATTAGAAAATATTATATTTCAGCTACCCAAGTGTTAGAATTCTATATACCCAAGTATTAGAAACATCTGCGTTGCAGCAAGAAGTCCTGTTACCAGGCAAATGTTAAGAACAGAAGATAAAAAGAAATTGACTGTGCTTGAGAACGTCAGCATGCGGATGAGCAACCCAAGTCCATGCAACTTTGTAATATTTTTTCTAGCGATAACAGCTTTGGATCAGACTTGGGAACAGTTAAGCACTATCCTAAATAAACAGCCTGGTATTTCTTCACATCAAGTACCTCCTTTTGGTGCTTTGCAAAGGCTTAAAAACACTGGCCCTCTGCCACACCACCCAGTTCATCGCTATTCCCCCAAAACAGCCATTCTAACCCCACGATTTTTTTTACCAAAGAAACACTGGAGAATCCAGTCAGGGCAACCAGAGTGCCCAGCTAACCTCACATCATGGGCAGTGAGTCAGATCTCCCGGCACTCCTTCCACCAAGCAAGCACCCCATGTGACAACAGACTGGTGGGGTGGGGGGGCAGCACTTTGAATAATAACAATAATGAGAATGGAATGGAATAGAATAGACTAGAATAATCATTATCTACATTATTATTAGAAAACATAATAATAATAAAAGTAATAATAATCAGGAGGATGATTTAAACTATTGCTAAAAAAATCCAGTCTGGTATCACAACGTGTGCTTGCTCCGTGTGCTGGGAGATTTGATTCACCCCGAATATAAGTACGTAAATTATTATGACAATCGTTACATGGAATCACAGAATCTTCTAGGTTGGAAGGGACCTTAAAGATCATCTTGTCCAACCGTCAACCTAACTGACAAAAATAGACACCCACACAACAAACAAGGAGCATCATCACTAAACCATACCTCCCAGCACTACATCAACCCCTCTTTTGAACACCTCCAGGGATGGCGCCTCAACCACCTCCCTGGGCAGCCCATTCCAATGGCTGATAACCCTTTCGGTGAAAAAATTTTTCCTAGTATCCAGCCTGAACCTCCCCTGGTGCAACTTGAGGCCATTTCCTCTCGTCCTGTCGCCTGTGACTTGAGAAAAGAGACCGACCCCCATCTCTCTACACCCTCCTTTCAGGTAGCTGTAGAGAGCAATAAGGTCTCCCCTCAGCCTCCTCTTCTCCAGGCTGAATAACCCCAGCTCCCTCAGCCTCTCCTCATAAGATTTATCCTCCAGACCCCTCACCATCTTTGTCGCCCTTCTCTGGACCCGCTCCAGCACCTCAATTATCAATATATTAATAATTTAAAAGAATAACTATACCAACTAACTATATTGTTATACGTAATTATTATATATTGCTACAGCATATATTAATATTAATAGAGTATTATAATTGTTATGTTTCATACAATAATAATTTTTACTTTTGACGTTTTATTACTCATCGAACTCCTTCCGACAAAACGACGGGCTTTAACCCCAACCTACACCCACAAACTCTCCCGGACCATCACCATCATCACCCTCTTCCCATTTCCCATCCCCTTTTCTCCAGCAGCCGCTCTTCTTCCTCCCATCCCCGGCCGCATTCCCAGGTATCTCCTGCCATCTACTGATGCCTGCGAGGAGCCGACTAAAAATCATCCTTGTTTTTTAAAAGAGGGAGGTGAGATGGGATGGGGGGAGGCACCGGGGGCCCGGCCACTGTCCCGGCCCGCCCCGGGCGGCCTTTGGCCGCCCGGGGCG